TCTTTGTCCAGACAGCGCCGCCAATTATCTGTGAATATCCCTATTCAGGAGAGACTTAAAAAACCAAAGACACAAAAAAGCCGGATCTTTTTGCCTGTTTTGCATACAAACATTCAGGGTGATTGTATATTAATATCTATTTCTGAAGCAGAAAGGAGTTAAAGGGTTGACCTGATTCTCTTAGTAAAGAAAATACAGCTACCATCCATTTTCTGAAAATTTGCCCTTGGGTTCAAGTGCAGGCTGGAAGGTGAGAACTTTTGGATTAAACCCAGCATAATAAGGTTTCTGCCAAAGAATCCACTCTTTCTATATCTTAGTTTTTCCAATCTGTCCAACAGGCATTTACTTCCCGCCTTACAGGAAAATAAAGCCTCGGTCATTGGTTTGGAGATACACATCCTGACACATGCATTTGTGCTGTTCAAGGGGCTAAGCTCTGGGGCACCATGTTGCTGTGGACCCCTTTCTTCGCCACCAGTGTCCTTTTTCCCTGTGGTCCCCACACTTCTTACTGGCCCAGAAAAGATCCTGTCTCTGTGGTGAACACCCAGGGGAAAATTGTATGGCACGTCCAATCGATTTCACCAGGAAACAGGCAAAAATGAAGGCAGGTTTTGTGAAAGTTTCATTCTGTATTTTCCTTACTACGAGAAGGCAGAATTTTCTCCAAGGGCAGAAAGATGCAGGATTGAGCCTGGAGTGACCTGTTAGAAGAATCGCTAATAGAAGAGGTAGAGAGGTGTTAGCATTCACTCTTCTGAGGGTCTTTAAAGCAGACAGGCAAATAAAACACGGAACAAATGTGGCTCCCAAATAGAGGCTGGAGGATTGGTCTTGTCACTTTTTTAGAGGTCCTTTTAATTTACAGCATGCTGGCACGAAGTATTCGGTCTGCCATCAATTAACTTGGAGTGTCATCCTACGTGTCAAGCTGTGTAGCATGTGTTGGGAACTCAAAAGTGTATAAGAAACAATTTTTGTTCTCAAGGTCTTCTTAACCTCCCCGGGGGAGAAATACATACAAATAATTACAATACTATGTGATAAGTGCTAGACTAGCAGCAAAAAACCCAAAACCAAAAAACAGAAAACAAGCCCTGTGTGCTATGATTACAAATTTTGCCTGAGATGGTTAGCACTGGAGAAATAGAATCTGCACTTGACCTTGAAGACCGAGTAGGAGTGAGGCAGGGAAGGCCATTCTAGGCAGAGGGGAGAGAGCATGGACCTAAGCCTGAAAAAGTGGCTGTCAGTGGAGATGAGGAGTATTTTAGAGAGGACGGAGTAACTTTTGAGGTTCAGACAGTCCCCGGTTTCTTACCCTGCTCGGTCTGTGGCCGTTAATTGGATGTGTGATTTGGGGCACGTTACTTAGCCTCTGTGAGCCTCAGTTTCTAAATCTGTAATGTGGAGGCAATGATGATCTCTCCTCTGGCAGGGCTGTTGTGAGAATTAGAACAACCAATCCAAAGGGCTAGGAACAGTGTGAGGACAGAGTAAATAGGCAGTAAATGGTCACTGTTATCCTGTCTTCTTGAACAGGCTGCCATTGTGGCTTTGGACCTGCAGATCATTCAGAATGTCATGATCTGATCCTGGGAGGGGTTTCTCAATATCAACATCTGTAAAATGGAAGGAGCACCTACTTTCAGGGTTGTTTCGAGATTAGAGCTAACGTTAAACATAGGAGCAATAGGGGCCTTGATTCTGAATCTGGGTGTATATAGAAGTGTACCTTCTGCTAAAGCAGAGGCTAAATCAGAAAATCAAATTTGAAAGTATGGTATCTCTCCCCCCAAGGGTGATGTGTCACGTTAATGAATGTGTTTTGGTGTGAGTTGGTATAAATAGTCACCCAAGCGTGTTTGTTTTTCCACTTCTGTGTCCTGTGCCAAGCACCGCACTGGGCACCCAGGAGATGTTTAAAGAAATACTTGCTACGTGAATAAATGGGTAACTCTCTAGCTGATTTGGCCAAACACATTTTTTGTTTTTAAAGGAGGGAAACAATTTTAGATCCTGAAATTGCTTTTTAAAAAAAAAACAAGTTCCTAAACCATTTGAACAATTGAACATGTACAGATTCATGTGAATCAGCTTGTGGGGAGGATCATGCTGTTCTAAAAGCTTTGTTTGCTGGGAGGATGCATTGGTCCAACCAGTCATTATAATTGCAAACAGTTATTATGTCTGTGATTATTATTATGACATTTCTAATAAGTATTATTGTAGAGGTCAACCTAGTGTTATGTCAATAAACCAGGACTAGAATATCTTACATGTTCACTTCATACTTTTTCTTCCTGAACTATATTTAGATAATAGAAATGGTAGAAACTCCAGTATTTTTTATTTTCCCAAAGAAACCTCTTTACCTTTTACCCCTGCCCAATTGTATCATGCCTCTGAGAGGTCACATTGCCACTGTTTTTTCCAATTTTAATTATGCTTAATAATAAGGAAAATAGTTACATGTAGGCTGGTTCAAGCTTGTGAAAATTGCACTCACTCTCTGACTGCAAAATGCTGGATGTCAGAGAGAAAAATCAGCCTGGATGCACTTGTACCTTCTTATCACATAACGCAGCCACAACCTCAGAGTAAATGTGCTCTTTTCCATCCGCTTCCAAGCAGAACCAGACCCAAGTTATGCCACACAAAATCACTGCTTTCTTATTTTTGAAGTAGGGCAGGAAGAGAATTCACAACTTGGCTTGAGAATGTATCTGTTCTTCTTCTTCTTCTTCTTCTTCTTCTTCTTCTTCTTCTTCTTCTTCTTCTTCTTCTTCTTCTTTTTTAAGATTATTTATTTATTTGAGAGAGAAAGAGAGAGAGTGGGAGAGAGAGAATGAGAAGGGGTAGGCACAGAGGGAGAGGGGGTAGCAGGCTCCGTACTAAGCAAGGAGCCTGATGTGGGACTCTATCCCAGGACCCTGGGATCAGAGCCTGAGCCAAAGGCAGATGCTTAACCAACTGAGCCACCCAGGTGTCCCAAAAATGTATCTGTTTTTTAAGAACTTATTTTCTGGTTCACCTTTTTTTTTTTTTGAGAGATTTTATTTATTTATTTGAGAAAGAGAGAGAGCGTATGTGAGTGGGAGTGGAGGGGCAGAGGGAGAGGGAGAAGCAGACTCCCTGCTGAGCAGGGAGCCCAACATCAGGCTCAATCCCAGGACCCTGAGATCATGAGCTGAGCCGAAGGCACACGTTTAACCGACTGAGCCACCTGCTGCCCCTCTGGTTCACATTTTAAGTAAAAATTTCTAATATGACACATTTAGTTTAGATCCTCTTATTTGTTCCTCAGGAGAAAAGGAAGAAAATATACCTAACCAACACTCTTTTTGTTCTGACCATTTATTTGGTCTAGATTTAGAATCCTTTAGTTAATGGAGACTTTGAAAACCTATTCCTTTATACATTTGAAAACTAGGGAGTTTAGGGGGGAATTGACCCACTAAATTGAGTTTTTTTTTTTTAAGTGTTTATTTATTTATTTGACGGAGAGAGACACAATGAGAGAGAGAACACAAGCAGGGGGAGAGGCAGGCAGAGGGAGAAGCAGGCTTCCCACAGAACAGGGAGCCTCATGTGGGCCTCAATCCCAGGACCCTGGGATCATGACCTGAGCTGAAGGCAGATGCTTAACTACTGAGCCACCCAGGTGCCCCACTAAATTGAGTTTTAAGAGGCCCCTGGCTTGTTCTCAAACTTGTACCTTCTTTTAGTTGAGACCTTTGATATTTTAGGTGCTGCCTTTCAGGTTCATAGTCCTCACTATTCAAAGCTGACATGCTCACTCATTCATTTCACCATTGTCATTGATTCACTGAGCAGCTACAATTAGGTTGAACAAATAAAATTACTATTTTTGTAGATTAAAAAAAAGGACAACTCAGTGTTCAATCTCATAAATATTTATTGAGGACCTACCACGTGAGAAGCAATTAAGGTTCAGTTGTATAGGGAACCTAATGCAAGAGACTCCGGTAGAATACCAAACAACAGCTTTCAGAGAGTCACTCTACTGATTTGGTACAATTGTCTATTTGCAAACAATGTTTTATATGGCACTTAATTTTTTTGAAAAGTTGCCAGGTTTGCCAATCTTGCAGTTAATTTGCCTGATCAACAGAATTGAGCAAAATTATTCTTAAGTTTTTCTGGTTATAAAGGAAAAAGGGTGTACATAATTACTGAAAACAAATGGTTAAATAATATGGAAGTCTATAAAATAAAAACTGAAAGTTCTTCCCTTACAGCCTGGATGGAGTAAACTGTGCTAACAACTTTTTATTCAAGATCACTCTCTCTCTCTCTTTTTTTCTTTCTTTATTTTACATATGAAATGAAATCTGTAGCTTTTTTTTTATCACTCAGAATGATATCATGACAGTTCTCCATACAGAGCGCATCACTTCTGAAATCAAGATGAGTCATCATGTCCGCTCAATAATCTTTTTAATCGTCACTTCCCACATTTAATTGCTTTTTAATTGAGTACTTCTCAAAATTCATTTTGATTGTGGTGATTGCCCAAAAACATTAAAAGAAGGCTTATAGTCTGCAAACACTTTCATTTAAAACCATCTTTTAAAGGAACATAAGGTACATGCAGCAACCACATGATTTTAGCACAGTGGGTTGAAAACAATACAAAAATAGTCATTCAAATGTCTTATCTCTAACCAACTTAGAATCCTCAAAAAAAAAAAAAAAAAAAAGGAAAGAAAAGAAAAAGAAAGAAAGAAAGAAAAAAATGCAACAAAAACAACACCCAAAACCTAAAACCAAACTAGGCTTCCTTGGGGGGGTGGGGATAGGGAGCGTGGGGTAGGGGTGGGAGGAGGGGAGGGGAGATGTGCCAGGGAAGACATAAAATGATGTTGGTGTTTTCATTTTTCTTTTATTGAGATATAGCTGATATATAACATTATATTAATTGCTAGTGTGCAACATAATAATTTGGCATTTGTATTGTCTCATCTTAATTTTAGAAATGAAGACAATGAACTTTGAATTTCTACATGGAAGTTCACAGTCTCCAAATTTTTCTTAAACCTCTGCCATCTTACACCACTTACTTGCCAATGAACGTGGGAGACCAAATGAGAAGGTAGTGTACAAATGTTAACAGAATATATCTGAAATAATGTGTTATGCTTAATTTAACCACCCTTTCCCCCTCTGGACATAGTTGTAGTTGAATGTAACACACATATATGGAATAGAATCATATTTTCTGCTAGTAAAAGTTCTGGCTCCTGGGGCAGGCATAAATATGTCAGCATTTTAATAGGTTTCTACAAAAAAACATTGACTTCCAGGGGTTCCACCAGCTAACCCGCTGGAGAATACTGGCACAGTTGCAAGGATTTTGTGCCACAGTCAAAAGGTTTGCTGTTTCCTCTGAAATGAAAAAAGAGATTGGACTGGGTGATCCTGAAGGGTTCTTTTCAAGAACATTTAGTTCTTGGGCTTATTTGCAAAGCTTTCAGTATCCCATACCCCAGAGACAGAAACAGCAAAATCTACCCCTACAAATACCAGTTTACTGAGATACCCAAGTATTGATACCATCGCTAGTAAGGTGCTTTTTTGGGCGTGGGGGACATATCTATTTTGCATCTTCCAAACTACAGATGTATTCCTACTTAAGGAAAAAATAGTGTGCACTTGGTCTTTTCAACTTGAACTACAAAAACATTTACTCCTTTATTTCTTTTATATTGCAAGCTCTACTAGTGAACCTAAAATGTTATGGAATTCGATTTAGTGAAACAATAACACAGATAAAGAGCTATGCATTTTGTACCAGATTTGCACCAAATCGTGCATCTGTACCAAAAATTACAAATTATGAATACTATCTGCCTAGAGAAAGACAGGCTTTGTTTTCTTGGGGCATGGAATGTGAACATGAAAGTTTCAGGAAAATACAGGGTTTTGTTCTTTCTCTACCTCCACATTGTATATTAAAAGCTGAAGTATAAATCATTCAGGACAGATCGATATGTGTGGAAATCTTACTTTTTTATCTATGGAAAATAGTCAATGAAAATGCTTTATAAAGTTACCTAAGACAAAATGATTTTTAAAAAATGCATAATTTCTTTGGTGGTATAATATTAGGAGCTGGCTGTAGCCCTATTCTGTTTTCCTCTCTTTTGGCTTTTTAAGGAGAAGTTAAGAAATCGTTACCCTTAACATTGCTAGAGTGGTCAAGTGTCATGTTTTGCAGATAGAAATCTGAGTGGAAGACTCTAGGTGCTCAGCTTGAATTACTGTTAAGTCATTTTATACTGATGAGTGATTTTTATATGGGAGGGCCTCAGACTGCATTATGTCTGCGTTTCTACCTCTGGAAAATATTTAGATGATTGCCTGAAATGGTTTAAAAAAAAAAAAAGGTCTTTTATTTGTAGATCTGGGAAAATTAAACCAAGACAGGATGATCAGACTATTTCTTTATAAAACGTACGAGGCACATTCCTTTATTATTAGCACATAGCATTTCTTTGCAAAAAGAATGCCTGTATTTATTGTAGAAAAATCCCAAACCACAAAATAACCCATAACCAATGGCTAGAGGCACTGGGAAAGATTACCATAATAATATTTTAGAATCTAGCCTTCCAGTCTTCTGAGTATAAGTGAATGTATGCAGCAGAATGCTTAGAAAGTCAACTAGTGAAGAACCTCCTCTCCGGGGAGGGTTCATTGCCTTTAAGACCTGAAAAGAGAAGTTGCCAGGTCTAAGCTACCCGTGGGCAATCCCTAAACCCATCTATTGTGCTTAGAGGATTAGTTCAATTTGGGCCTCCCGATTTAATGTCCCAGAAGGTAAAATCAACTGTTCCTTATTGGAGAGAGTAAAAGGAAGAGTGGCTGAGCCCTAAAGCAGAAAAGAGGAGGCCAGGAAGTGGCTGTATGCCCAAGGAAATCAGAAGAGCTCGGGTCTGGTCATCAGGAAGACTGAATTTAGATACTGAGCACTGTGTGACCCTGGTTGCATTGGCAACTTCTCTGGGCACCGGTTTTCCCATTTATGAAATGAAGGGATAGCAGATAAGGGAGAATGGAATGTGGGAGAGAGACTATAGAAATATCTTAGGCAGGGGCGCCTGGGTGGCTCAGTCGGTAAAGCAGCTGACTCTTGACTTTGGCTCAGGTCATGATCTCAGGGTTGGGAAATTAAGCCCAGTCTCAGGTTCCACGCTCAGCAGGGAGTCTTCCTGAAGATTCTCCCTCTCCCTCTATCTCTACCCCCATCCCCCTCATGCACACACACTTTCTCTGTCGAATAAATAAATAAATCTTTTAAAAAATTAAGGCGTACTTCCTAGTTAATTGGAAAGATTGGCCTGAGAAAGAACTATATTTCTAAATTGAGTGGTGGTGGGTAAGTGGGAAGAGATGAGGAAGGAGAATATCTTAATAGAAGGTTTGGATAAAATTTGGATCTGATTTAATTTCTTCATTCAAGATCTAGATCTGTGCCGTCCAATATGGCGGCCTCTAGCCACGTGCAATGACTGAACCCGCAAAACATGACTAGTCTGAATTGAGATGGGCCGTAAGTGTAAAAGACATTCTGGGCTTTGAAAATTTAGAACCTAAATTGTAAAATATACCCTTAACAATTTTAAAATATTGATCCAGTGTTGAAATGATAGTATTTTAGCTATATCATATTAAATAAAATATACTAAGAAAATTTATTTTACCTGTTTCTTTTTAAATTTTTTTTAATGTGGCAACTGGGAAGTTTTAAATTACATATGGGGCTTGTATTCTATTTCTATTGGACAGTGCTCATCAAAGATGTTAAGCTAATGGAATGTACTTTGGGAAAATGTGCGATCGCTAACCTGTACGTGGATATAGGAGATGTTACAGTTGTAAGAATGAGTGTCATTAGAAACCTAGATATTTTGGGATGCCTGGGTGGCTAGTCATTTAAGGGGTTGCCTTTGGTTCAGGTCATGATCCTGATTAAGCCCCGGATCTGGGTCCTTGCTCCGTGGGGAGGCTGCTTCTCTCTCTGCCTGCTCTGCCTGCTGCTTCCCCTGCCTGTGTTCTGACAAATAAATAAATAAAATCTTAAAAAAAAAAAAAGAAGAAAAAGAAAAGATACTTCACAGATAAGAGAAAAGCGGGAAATGGGAATAAGTAAAACACTTGAAGGGGAATAATGGTAACAGGTTTACAACTCTGTTTGAATGTAAACTCCTGCATAACAAAAAGCATTTGGAGGTAATCTGCAGGGAAACTTGCTGGAACCACCCCTTTTGTAGTGACTATTTTATCTGTGCCTTTTGTCGACTCTCTGAAATAGAGTTAGGCAAGAGGATGGGGTGTGAGAGGGGAAGAAATGGGAACTGGTTTACAAAGCGGGTTTATAGACTTCATAGGCTGAGCTCACACCACGGAAAGGAGTTAGTATGTGTCAATAAGTGATTACAACTTCTCTGACAAGCTGAAAGCATTTGTTAAATCACAACTCATATTCCTGGAAAATGTTCTTTACTTTGTACAGATGAATCACTTACTTCCAGAAAATAGTACACTTACTGTATATCCCCTCAGTTCAGTCCTACTAATTAATTCAGGTAGCCAAGTAGGGTCAGATTTCATGGTAACATGACACCCTAAAAGGACACCAAAAATGTTCTAAACACCATATCCACTGGTTTGTGGAGTCTTCGTAAATTGCAGAGCCCCAGTTGACAGAAATAACCTTCCCTTTGACATTTTCTTTTCTATCCCCTCCTGGGTGCAATATCAGAGTCTGGTCATGGTTCTGACCCGTCTTGGCGGGGAGGGAGCTCAGAGTCAGTTGAAGAGCCAAGGTTCAAGTGTATAGTAGGTTCTCAATAAGTGAGAGCTATTGTGTCTTTTTCCTGAATATTTTCCTTCACCCAAAACCTAAATTAAAACTTTCTCCTCTCCATGTGCTGTAGGATTGTGTCTACCGCTTTAGTGATAGAAAACCACGAATGAACTCCTCTTCAGAGGTACAGTGTAATCACTGTGGACGTTCTCTTGGCCTGGGATTCTGGATAACACACAGATGTTTCTTCATCCCATATCTTCCTCTGAGACCTCATGTCGCCTCTCCATTTTTGCCAGGCCAGCTTCACAGATGTGTGCCTGGGTCTTCATACCACCTGTCCTTACAGCCTTTGCCCTCCCCAGCGCTCTGGGAACACTCAGAGGCCACAACGCTAACAAATCCCAACTCTGGCTTAGTTTGGGTTTGTGTGGGAATTCTGGGAGACCACAAAAGTTTGATGACCAGATAAAGATAACTTTCCTTTTTTTTTTTAGAGATTGCTTTACTGGGCCGCCTGGGTGGCGTGGTAGGTTAAGTCAGACTCTTGGTTTCTGCTCAGGTGGCGATATCAGGGTCATGAGATTGAGCCCAGAGTTGGGCTCCACACTCATCATGGAGTCTGGTTGAGACTCTCTCTCTCTCTTCCTCTGTCCCTTCCCTACATGCTCTCTCTCTCACTGTCTCTAAAATAAATAAATAAATCTTAAAAATAAATTAATAAATAAAGACTACTCTACTGAGGCATGATTGACCTATAAAGCTGCACACATTTGTCATATACAATTTTCTGTAATCAACAAAAGAGCAAGAGAGGTTATGTTGATAGTCTTTAGCTTTGGATCTTTTTGGAGGTCATGTCACCTCCATGACTCAGTTCCTTCATCTGTAGGATGAGTGATCTGGACTTGATCTCTAAACTTTCCAGCACTTAGATACTGAGCTTCTAGAATGCAATAGGCATGGAGAGGAAAGCGTGGGCTCATAACATTCTTCTAAGTTTTCAAGTGGAACAGTGTGGCTTGAAGCAGGATAGTGGGAATGGATTAGCTTTCTCAGAAATTTCACATTAAGGGTAAATTTCAATAGCTGTAACAAATCGATACCAGGTGAGCAAAAGCTTGCCATCCCTGACACTTCCATGTATTTGTTCCTATTTTTGCCACTGAACTGATTATTTATCATAAATCATGTGATTTATTAATCATAAAAATGATGCTGATTTTAAATTTTATCTATTAACCAAAAAAGCTTTATCTGCTTGTTAAGAATTAAACAAATCC